TTCACAAGAAAGAAAATAATCAAAATTCTTCATATGATGTACCACCACTTGTGCCGCCATTACTACCCCTTGCATACTCTTAGCCACCACCCTTTTCTCCTCCCTCCCTCCCTCCCACCAACCCAACCCCACCTCTCACTCTTCCCCCACCACCACCGCATCCTCTTCCACTTGTTGTCATTTTTCATGAAACTTGAACTTTATAAAATTGCCAATATCTTCATGTCAAATCATCAAAAAACTAAATTAACGCAGAATATACCTTGATAGATTGATTTGTGACTTGAATAATGAATGTTGAATTTTGATCTTTTGTTCTTCAATTTAATTGCTCCAGATGCTCTTCTTGATTCTTGATTGTGGGTTTATGGATCTTCCTCTTCAATATACTTTCTCTTGTATTCTCGTGTTGATGAGATGACACAAAGAATGAAAAATTCCATATATGAATTGGGGACCATAACCCTATATATATTTTCCATATATATTCGATCCATCGTCAAATACAAATCCTAATGGATCCAGTCTCTACACATATAGTTCGGTCCACACTTTATTTAGATACCCAAAGCCTAATTACTTAATTCTTTATTAGATCATGGGCTGAACTTTAAGATAGACTTATACACGATTAATTAGGTCCACGCGGCAAATTTAATAATTTCCCAACACCACCCAGAACAACCCTGCAGCTACACTGCCGCCACCTCCAACCCCTCCCTCTATAGCATACTTCATATTCGGATCCGCCAATGACTCGGATCGGATCGGATCCTCAGACTCCCCTACTCCATCTACCACCACATAAACCAGTACTTGCTCAACCTGCACCGGGCAGTTCCTCAGGCTGACCGTGATACTCTGGCCCTCAGGGTTCAATCAGAGCTCGTCTTCAGGGTTGCCCATAATGTACATGTAATTGGCAAGGCTGACTATGTGTTCCCTACTGGTACTTCATCTCTTTCCTCCACACTTCATGGTGCCTCCGTTCTGCTCTATGTTTCGGGCAATTGGGATTGGTTCATCAATGTGACAACCCACATTTTCCTAGTCAAAGCCAAATGTTGAATCGTCAAAGTCAAGGTCAAATATGGACTTAATTGGAATAATTTATTTTCTTGGGGCTTATGTAATATTTAAGATAATTGAGGGTTAAGATGGAATNATATTTAAGATAATTGAGGGTTAAGATGAATTAAAATTTAAGTTGGAGACTTAATTATTTTATCCTTGAAAGTTGGGAGACTTCCTTTGCAAACAACCCATTAATTAAATCAATTGGAACCCACTTTCTCCTCATTTCTCACCCAACACAAGCAGAGAAGGCAGAGATCGAGAAAAGGGAAGAAAAAAGGGAAAAAGGAGAGGAAAAGAAGGGAAAAAAGAAAAGGATGGAAAAAAGAAAGAAGCCACCAACGTGATTAGAGTGTGGGCTTTAACTTTCTTCTTCTATTTGGAGGTAAACTCGAAATATATTCTCGTTGGATTTTGTGGTGAAATCTTAGGGTTTTTTTTTATTTATAGCTTATACTTGAAAATATATGATAAGGGAGTTGTCTAATAGAGCATTTTGAGCTATTTATTCTAGTGGATTGGAAGAAATGACATTTGAATATTAGGGTTTTGATATGTGTGGTAAGATCCGAAAATTTGGGAAATATGGCATTTTCGTTATTTTCTTTGTGATTGTTACGTGATATTAAGATAAATTAGTTGGAAATAACTGATTTGTTCTTAAGTTCTTAGTTGGGTTATGTTGAGATTATAAGAAAGAGCTATTTGATAAGATTTATGTATTTAGCTAAAATAAATTTGTACGAGAAATGTTGATGATTATCGACATGAAAATATGGTTGAATCTCGCCGGAGCAGCTGGGAAAAGTTAGTATTAGAAGTTGGGAAAGTTGAGTGATTTGAAGATTAAGTGAATCCATGTTTAAGTTAGCCAAATGAGATAGAAATATTAAGTCTCAGCTTATTGCTTATTGAGGAATTTATATATTCCAGTTCGATGTTAAGTATGAGTTATTATGGTGAAATTCCTTGTAAAGTAGTATGTGTGTGATCATTTCAGGAGGGGATCTGG